GTGGAATGTTTAGAATACACGTCAACATGGAATGAAAAAAATAGAAATTATTTCTCCTTCGCGGATCGGCATACACATATAACGGTAACGTTACCTTACTTTACTCTGCACCACTATTACAATTATACTCAATGCACATGGACAGGCATTCTAATTTCAAGCCAGACTTAATAATAACTATGTTCCTTACTCATTGCCTTTCATGACAAATTAACAACTAAATAGTAAATTTCAGTTTTTTGAATCTTCAACTTCCCCTGTCTACAAGCATGACTTTCTTGATCTAGATTTTTGCCAATATCACCAGCATACGGTGTTTATGTGTCCAAAGTGATTCAAATTGCAAAAACATCCTCCGAGAACATTTAATCTTTAAACTAATAGAGGCTCTTGACAAATAATTTGATTAAACAGGGATTCACTATTCTCTCTTGAATCATTACTTCGAAAATTCTATTTTACTCACAATTTCACTGTTTTGTAAACAGAACCTAGCTTTAGGTCATTATCTGACGTATTACAATTGTCATGTATACGTTCGTTTTGCATATACTTATTTGGACCAAAAACCACATAGATATTGTCAATAAGAAACTCAAGCATCTTTTTTAATGTCGACTTCAGTGTACGTCTGTGTAAAATAAGAATGTTTTAACAAAATAATTTTGCAAATGACCAATGACAGGGTAAGTAAACTTCCGAGTTCCAATTTTATTGAAAAAGCAGCTGTCAATGATATCAAAAAGACTGGACTTTAATTTATCGTGGGGAATGGTTTTGTATAAAGTTAAAAGGTCGTAAGTTTTTAAGCTGTTGATTTTGGTAAAATCTTGTGATTTCTAATTTTCCAAAAATTCCTTGGCATTTTTAAGTATCCACATCTGATTTACACCACTTCTAATGTCATTCGAACACGTCTTTCTTTGTAAGGCAGTGCAGATCGACTTAATTATAAGACATACCATTCATAAGCAAGTAATTATCGAAATGTCCACAATTTTGGCGCACTTTTTTATATACAGGATACGATAAAATGACATCCTAAAGCGAAATGAAGATCCCGGTAGGGGACATGTATTGCTTTTGCAATACTCTCAAAAGCAATACTCTCAGAATGCGTGTTTACTTTGTATTCATATGAAGCAAAATTTGTTCAAAAACTTCTACGTGAAAAGAAGAAAATACTTGCTGTGGCTTTCAACTCGACATTGACATCTCGACGACGTACATATTGTAAATCAACAATTTTTAAATTCATTTTTATTTATTTTAAAATAAATTTTAATTAAAATTTCTTATACAGTTTTTAAATATATTTCTAAAACAGCGAAAATATTTATTCTGTCAATCTGTCTTCAAGAAAGGCTATATTCAAAAGATAAGTTTAATTCCAATTTTTAAAAGTATATCGTTTTTTTGTCTTTGCAATGTACCATGATAGCTCATTGAATAAACAGCGTACAAGTAAAACAGTGGTCATGGGTTCGCTTTGATCACACGATGAGCGACAGACAACCAGAACTCTTACAGCTCAAATAAGCCAAAATCCTAGATTAATGACATCCATACCTGTCGCTTAAGTTCAGTGATTCTGACAAAAGTTATTTCATGTACGCAGATTATCTCTGCAAATGACCATCATTTCGTTGACAGAATGGCATTAGTCTTAAAGTTTGATAAAGCTACAAGATTGATTTAATAGCGTAACGAGACTTTGCACAAGAGGCATATGAGTGACTACAACCATATTGAATTTTACGTCATAAGATGAACACGATTGGATTAAACAACAAATAGACAAGAGTGGAGAACGTTTGTTGCTGCCCTACACACCACAGGGTGTAAAGGGCAATGGTGATTGTATTAAAAGTACATAGCATAAAAGCACAGGCACCTGAAGTTACTTATTTTTCTTTTAATAAAAATATATATCCCCCACCAAATAATAAACACTGTACACATCGTCCTTCATCTTGAAGTTTTCTTCTCGGTCACATCCACTTGTATTTTCGTATGAAAATCGGTAAAATAAATTCCCTGCAACCATTTTCTGTATGTGACCAGTATTTCGAGATCTAAATTTACGGACAGTGCAACCAGAAGGGCGCATCACACTTGTAAATATTGAAAATCTCTCTTCAATCTCGATCTACTGCTTCAACAATCCGATTTAATCTTTATCAATTCCTCTTGTAAATGTTGGCTGCATAAAATTTAAATTTTAATCACCTACATTTGTAAATTCAAAAATCTATTTCACATGTAGAAACACGAATTGTGTAAAGAACCTTTTTATGCAATAAGTAAAATTCGATGTTCTAAAAAAGGGACATGTCGTTTTTTTCGACAGTAAATGATACATGTAAGCAAATTATAATTATATTAAATATGAAAAACATATATATTTTTAAAGATTTGCTTTATGGAAGTAAATATATTGTGTGTCTCGTAATTTATAAAGGGAAAGAAAATTCTGATTTACGAGGGACGTTCAATAAATAATGTCATCAGCTCGATGACACACAACATAGAAATCATATGCAATTAAGTTTGACTTCCTCTAATTATTGAATCTTTAATGAGTTGAAATCAGTTTATGTGACCGCTTTTCATCACATTATTCCATTGAGAGAAGCTGGAAAACAAGGGCTACAAGGACATTGCATATAAAATGAATAGTCAAGAACCAGTAAACAAGAGTGAAATATTAAACGCTTCATTAAAGCAGCTGTAAAACGTATTAATATCCAAAAATACATTAACTGAAAAATGTGAAATTTACAGCAACCAATGTCTGTTTTATAGACACGTGAACAGGTGGATTTCAATAAACAAAAATTATATAATGGGCATCAAAAATGGGTACCGTCCTTGGCAACAAGGACATACAACAACCAATGTATATTTGCGAAAATTCAACAGACTATCACTGATTATGTTTTTTTTTACTTTAAGACAGCAAAATTGATAGAAATCATTTTGGGGGTAGTTCACACTGTTTTAAACAAACATTTGAGTGAAAACGACAGCGTGTAGGAATATCTAAACAATTATTTTTAAAAAATCAAAAATTGTACTTATCCACGTTTGTCTGAAATTCAATTAGATAATGAAATTTGAATCCATTTTGCTTTAAACCCTCAAAACAAATTTACGATAAGATGCACTTGACAAAACAAACTGCAAAGGCCTAAAAAGAGCAAAGAATTGCAAGAGCACAAAAACAGATTTATGTGCTTTTTCTTAAATATTAGCGGTCCTATTGTTCAAATTCATATTTGGGGAGGAATTTCAATTTTTGGAGGAGTCTAGAAAACATTTTTTTGCAGAAAAATTGAAAGGTTTATGAGAGGAAGGAAACAGAATGAAAAATTCACAACATTAAATTTCTTCATGACAGCGTCCAAACCCACAGGCCATGCAGAGTAAAGGAGTTTGGGGGATAAACAGAAAGTTAATGTTTTGTCACGCCAACAAAATTTACCAGATCTTTCAACCTTTGACTTGTGTCATTGCCCAAACTTAGATAAACATCTATTAGAAAGAAAAAAAAACAAGTACAGCAAATCATGGGTTCTGCCATATTCCAGTATACGAGGGGTCATACTCAAAAATGTGTTCTAAAAACAATTAGAAATTGAATAAAAATGTTACGGACATGTGTTTTAATTAAAAGAGAATATTTTAGTTAAATCGTTCAGACTAAATCATAGATAAGCGTTTTTTTTTTTTTTTGTTTCTTTCCGAGCCCCAATGACATTATTTATTGAACGCCCCTCGTATAATCTTTTTAATGACACATGCGTTTTTGTCGACCCTTATAACCAAAATGCTTGCCTTCCGTCTAACGGCCCTTGGTAAACAGTTCGGTTCATTGTCCGACAATACGCATGTTGCCCCTGAACCCAGTCAAAAACTGTATAATGTTTACTTTTGATGTGATGCAGTATATTCGTGTCAATGAAACTGGGTACTTCTAACATATGTTTGAATAATTTGTAATTAATGAGTGTAAAAGAATGCTGCAAATACCCTTTTCACTGAAGACGTCAGTAGACATTTATTCGTTCAAAAAATATATATAATAATTTAAAAATCGATATCAGTGTAAGTAAATGTATATGACAAAGAGACAAAATGTGGAAAAAAATATATTTATTCAGAAGATTCATGTAAAGCAATCCGATTTTTTTTTTACTGCCTATTGATAATTGAAAAAATATATTATCAAATCTTGAATTGAACAATTCATTAAGGCAAAAATAAAAAAATCGATCAAGCCCCAGGAAGTTGTCCTTATTGCATGCATTCTATTATATGTTATGGCAGATTTAATGGGAAATGAAAATTAATGGATGAAATTTAATGCTGACAATAAACCCAGTAATTGGACAGATAGAAAGTGAATTATTTCTGTCCTGGTTTGTGTGTTGTTTTATAGATTTGAGTATGGCATGAAAGTATTCATTAATTTCGAAAATCAATTGTAAAACTTTTTTTAAAATTTGCTTGTTTCAAATCTGATCCAATACAATTGAAATCTAACTCATGCCGATTTGAATTATAATGTGCTTTACGGTGTGACCATTGGGGCGAGCGCTGTTATACTCAAAACACACTTGAAACATTGATCAGCTACTTCAACATCTAGTCGCATGAGACATCTCGACTAGCTATGACGTAACGGAACTCGTCGGAGCTTACGGAGACAGCCCAGTGTCTGGTTGAACTATAGACATAGTGCAATTTTTGTCAAAAGACATTGCAGAGTTATTTTTTGTTTCTTTTAAAAACTTCTACAAACTGAAAGCCTTTTAATATTTAAGTTATTTTTTTCCCGTAAAGGTTATTGGGTAGCAAAAGAATTCTGGGAATGTTTCACAGAAAAGTTTGCTTTACGTATGTACAGATTTCATTCCGAATTTCCTCTGTTCGTACATGTTAGTCTATTGAGATCGCTTCGCGAGGCGTTCGCGACGCTCGCTGATAATTTGGATATCATAACCAATATAACAAAATACTAGATTAAACGCCTTTGAATTCAATAATAAAACCTGAATTCCCGATCCGCGGAAACTGCAGGAATTTCTTGATTTACTCTGCATTCATTTTATCGGATAACTCTTATTTGAGGTAATTTCGATGAAATTTTAAAATAATTCATAAAAAGCCCACATGAATATTTTTCTTCCTATGCTGAAGCTGTTATTATTTATCATTAAAGAGTTCTAGGTATAATAAGTATTAACAACTATAATTCATGAATAATATTGTGTTCCAACTTCAGACTACTTTTTATCGGTAATTTACACGAATAAGAAATGCATACACTACGGTAACTACAAAGTCAAAAGAAAAAGATTTTTTGGAATTCTTCAGTCATATTTGAGCTGTAAGGGAACTGAATTTGATGCTATAGCTCTGTATTGATTGCCAATAAGCATTGCTATTATTTTGAAGTGATCTAGAAGAATGCTTTGTAAAAAAAGATAGAAAGACGATATATGAAATATAGATGCACATATGCAAACTGCTGATCTTTAGGTAATTAAACTGAAAGTCCTTTCGCAAATAAATCCATGGGGGCGTGTTTCTTTAACATCGTCCCATTTTCCTTCATATGTTACTCTCAATGCAATAGATTTTAGGTTATCTCTCGGTTCGCCAGGGTACCAGTAAAACGTGGTTATTTTTCGCCCGTCGGAAAAGGTCCAAATACCATTGGAGTTTTTCTCCCCATCGATTCTATATTTTGAGATAGAACCTATAAAAAAATTAAATGATTTATTAAAAAAAAAATACGATAGTGCTTCGCAGTGTTTTTAATTCCATGATTAAGAAGAAAGTAATTTTCAGTAATATTTAAAAATTCGATACAAAAACAGCAGATTTATTGATGAACGATACAGTATCAGTATTTACGTCTATATTTACATCTGTTTGAGAGTTCATTTATTTTTTCCCTCTGTCATGACATACGCAAAGGTATTAATTAAATATTTACACGGATTTAAAATTTTATAAGGTTAGAAATTAAAAAATGTTTTCATTTTTTTTAATTTTCAAAAGAACTTTAATTGTCATATAATATCTGATGTACCGGTATATTAATCTTCATGTACGTACGTTTTGTATAGAATTATATTGACCACAAGTGTCTACTTAAAGTGTTTCTAGGGGTTAGTGTTCTTGCTCTTCATGAACATAACTGTATGGTTATGAGATTAATCAAAGCTACATGTAATTGTTTTCACTTTTACATAAACGTACTTTTTTGGGCTGAAAAGATAATGGAACGCTGTACCTGTTGCTTGTAGGTTCAAGGATTCTACCAAAAGTTGTTTCCTGTATGTGTTTATTCTCAGCAAATGACCATTACTTTGTTCACAAGATGCCATTGCGTCAGCCTTTGCTAAACCTGTATCGTTTACTTTGTAACACAATGGGACTAGGGGATCATAGAGGTATCCATGTGACGTACACTCAGCAGCAAATGTACCTATAATGAAACCAAAAATACCTTAATCAACACATACGATTGACGAGAAACAACCCTTTATATACGCATAACATAATTTGTAGTTTTTTAGAAGGTCAAAAGGAACAGATTTTTATTGTTTATTAAGGTCAGACGACACGTTCCTCAAAAAATATATAATTTTTCCTAAGAATTTGTCATTGAAGTAAAGGTACTTAAACAAGACCTTACCAGGCATTTTTTAGGGTCATATTTCTTATATAACCCTATATGGGTAATGTTCTAAATGGCCTATTACAGAATTTTTTGTGTACTTATATTTAAAAACATTTTAAAAACATTGGTGAAATCAGAAGAGAATGACAAATATGAATATTTTTTTATATAATACCAAGAGATACCAAGAGATACAAAACGTATATTTGAGGAACGTGTCATGTGACCTTAAATGACAAAGTATTACTGGTTTTGTTGAAATACAAATATCATTATTTATAAAAAAAAGTTTACAATGTGTTAATATAAATTCAAAGTAATTTGCAAGGATTATTTTACTTGACGTTGTTTGCAATGTGCTTTTTCAACTAACGACTTTACTTCGTTTGAAAATTGCGCTTGTTTTCATCTTGTTCATTTTCAATATTATTTTCCTCCTTACTCATTTTTGTACTTGTTTTAATCTCAAATGACTTGACTGATAATGTTAGGGATCAGAGAAATTCCATCCATACTTTATAAGGATTTTGTTCTTTGATGACTGATTATCAACGCGTTTTCTTTTTTCTTTTCTTTTCTTTCGTTTTTTTATTTTTATTTTTTTGGCAATGTGCCTTTGCAGTATCAGATAGTTGGATGGATATTTTCTACAAACATGTATATATATGATGACAAAGGACTGTAGTTTTAAAAGAAACATGACTTTTTAACAGCTAAAATCTTATCTGGCAGACTGAGAGGATAAAGAATATAATCTTTGTTAGACGTGTGGATGCATAATTATATGCATTGAAGTTGTTCTAGACTTTCTCTCACATATCATTCACTGTTGTTTAGAGCATAATTCAAAGTATATTAAACATTGTCATAATTACCAGAAATGTCAGAATGAACCAGTCTGTTTGATAAAATAAAATACTCCTCTCTTTGACCGCCTTCATCGAAATACATAGTCCCCTCGAAAGTCACACAATGAGTTCCATTGAATAAAAAGGAAGAGCATGTTGAAGAGTAATGGCATATTTGTCCACACTCACTAACGGTCTTGGTTTCAATAGTTCCTAATAAAGTTGGTTGTGATGGCGTTATTGTATTCAGCTGTCTAGCATACGTCGTATGTGTATAGGTTTGGGCTGCAGCTAAAAGTATTCACAATATTAAAGAATATTATGATAACGTGTCATTTCTGACTTAACATGAAGAATTTTATAAGAAGTATATTTTAGAATAAATGTGAGCTTGTGCAAATTAGCAAGTAAAGTACTCTGAAAAAAATTGTTTCACAAATTTGCATGAGTAATTTAGTATGTGACCTTTTTCCTCTAATAAAATAATATAATTTGGGTATTAGAAATCTGAACAGGTAGCACGTTTTCCATAAAGCTTTGAATGAACAAGTGCATATTGGTTGCACGTGTCGAGTCATTTTTAAAAGTAAAAGATGGATTTTTCTTTGTTAAAAGTCTAATAGTAAATTTATACCTGTTCATTATATCTGCAGTTTTTTGGCAATGTCAAAAGAAAAAATATACAAAATTTATTACAATTAAAAATATCTCTTAAACCAATGTTTAATATCTATACAGAAACATGAATTCTTTTACGAGAAAACATATTTAGTGCTATTGTTTCGAATTAAAAATGAAACACGTGAGTAGATAAAGCTTTGTTTTCAAAAGAGTAACATTTGAAGTTGATACTTTTTTTTTAAATAGATGTTCTGACAAGCTTTGTTTTCAATAAAGTGACATTCCTTAACAATCGACAGGGCTGTTGCTTAGAAAACCATTTACTTTAGAAAATAAAAAGTTAGATTTATCGTGGCGCAGTGGTTAGAGCGTCTGCTCTAGAGTCGCGAAGTAAGGAGTTAATCCTTACGTCGGGGTTTCGAATCCTACTGTGGGACGTGGAGTCCTTCGGATGAGACCGTATAAACGTAGGTCCCGTGTCGCAGTAGGTGCTGGCACGATAAAGAACCCTCTCTTCTCAATTGCCCTAATGCCGAGTATAGGACAAATTTTGTAGCTCTCCACCGGCAAGTGGTGGCGTCTCCATGTTTGAAAAATTCTCGAGAGGAACGTTAAACAAAATACAATCAATCAATCAAACTTAGAATCTACTATTTTCCAATTATTACAACATTTACATAGGTCATTATACTGCGTGTCGTTTCTAGAAAATTTATTGAAGCCAAATTAAAAATAATCTGAGTGATACTTCAAGAAATGTTCATTGCAAACACAGAATTTATTTTCATTCCGTAAATGTTTTTTAAGATTCTGTATAATCATTAGAAAGGCAAAAAAGTATCTAACCTTTTCTTAATGAAAGCAGCTGAAGGATCAAACAGAGTAAACATTCCATCATTATGAAGACTAAATTGTTTCGATTCCACAGTAAAAGTTAAAAGGCACTGGGGATACCTCCGGAAGTAGGAAATCAATCAGACTGCTCGCAATCTCGATCAGCAAGGATTTGCAGGAACCATTTATGAAATTATAAAATCAGTTTCTTATTATGCCTTTCCTCTCGAGTTGAAAATTTCGAATCCCCCTTTCTTTTATTTATTTTTGGTACAAGTACGACTGCATTTATTTTTTTTTTATAATAAAATATTTTTTTCATAAGGTAAGATTGGATAAGAAAATACAGTTTTATTACGTGCTTTACTTCTAACTGGCCAATTTGTTATTTGTTGGAAAATCTAGTTTGTTGCATGTTTAGTTATCTCTGTGGATTTTGCTAAAAGATCATGGACATTGGTTTGTTCTGTTTCTGTTCAGTCTCGTGAATTCATTCGCTTATTCATCATTCTTCCCCTAAAACGATAACATTTATACTTTCAACAATTGCAGTTCTTATTCAAATTGTATATTTGCACAATTTCAAATTTATTTTTTTCACTCCAAAAATTTGCTGCCAATCTGAAATAGTTCGTTTTGTACGGAAGCCCTGGAGTGACATTGACTTACTTGTTATGACTTATTTGTTATAACTTATTTGTTTTGACTTATTTGTTTTGAGATTTTTTTGTTAGTTCTAACTAACTGTAGGTAAGCTATTGAGAACGATTAATTGTAGTTTTGTAGTTAAACGTACAAAACTGATGTGATTGCTAAAATTTTATCTGTTAATTACGGACGCCCTTGAGTGATATTGACTTATTTCTTATGTGTTTTGACTTATTTCTTATGTGTTTTGACTTATTTCTTATGTGTTTTGACTTAGTTCTTATGTGCTTAGACTTAGTTCTTATGACTTAACTTTGAATTCTCGTTATTTTAAATTTGTTATGACAAGTTTAGTTTACAAAAAGTGGCGTGAAAGATGAAGGCAACGTATAGTTTCAGAACAAAGAAATAAATGTCCTTGAATTTATTACTAACGACAAGATAAAATAATAACCATGTTCTTGTCTTCAATCATTATGCAAACTGGAAGTTACATATAAGAATTAAATAATTACTTTTAGGAAATAAAAATTAAGTTATAACAACAAAAATAATATTTACTTTAGAAATAATAACTGTTCTGGATGTTAAACTACAATTCGCCTATCAAAACCACAGTTAGAATAGGACTAAATATCATTTTTATTATAAAAGTAAGCCAAGCAACAGATTTCAATAGCCTTCCTACACTTAGTTATCTCTAGCTACGAAACAGTAACAACAAATAAGTCAAAACAAAAAAGTTAAAACAAGTAAGTCATAACAAGTAAGTCAATGTCCCTCCAGGGCTTCCGTAGTTTTGCAACAACGCTTCGAAAAATAGTGAGGCAATATTTTGTGAAGGTCAAGGACTTATGGAGTCCCTTCCCTTTACAATAAACATGTAACAGTTCAATCTGAATGTCATGTATAGTACTCAAAAATAAAATAGCAGTAGAAATTAAGTATTAATACAATGAAAGATGAGACACCAATAACATTTTTACGTCTTTTTTAATTTCACAACTATTCAATCTGTATATAGTTGAAATCAAATCAAAATTCACAGATTCCTACTCGAAGCATTTATGTTGATTGAATGTTATCATCTCTAATTAAATGGTATTGTTCAGCTGTCTAAATTAATGGCTAATATTGATTTCCAAACACGGAATCATTTGTACAAATTATTATTCCTATTTGTATTTCACCAGCAACTGTTAAATGTTATTGGATGAAAAATATAAATAATTGTTTGTCTTCATTAATACTTCATTAAATGCAATACAATAATTGGCAATTGATAATACCCCCAAAGGCCAATAACCGGGTAAGGCGTTTAGTTGTTTACCAGGTTCAAACTTGTAAATTACCATAGGCATAGAATGGAGCACCATCCTTAACGTTTCTTGCAATTAGGGAGTAAGGTTTTTCCAATCCCCAGTAGGCTCCACTGAAAATAACCTCTCTTTTGCATTTTTTGACCAAACCCGCTAGGGGCGCAACAAAAGGCATACCTCAACCATTTGTGCTTTAGTAACAGATCACCATTAAAACGTCTTTGTTGGCTACCAGAAATTCTTTGAAAAAAAGATCCCAATCTCGTTTAGCATTCAGAAATGAGTTGTTTCGATAATATTGTTTTATATAAAAGTTTTTGTTTTTTTTTGGCATTTTGTTTTAACATGTACTGGAGATTTTTTTGCTTGTTTTTGTTTTATCTTTTAGACGAAATTCTAATATTCATCACATAGTGTAAGGAATCACTTGTGATTGAGTTCTCCTGCCTTTAAAAAAAGCAAAACAAAAAACAAACAAATATGGATTGAGATCTGCATGAAAACCTAGTAAACGATTGGAAGAATTTATATTTATGTAACTGTGCATATATTATTTCTGTAACTACCTGAATGGAAAATTGAAGTTTTATATTGAGTCTGCATCCCAATGTTCTCAAGAAGTTTATACTTCAGGGGCCCGTTTTACAAAAGGACTTACGACTTAAGACCAAATTTAATTCTTCATATAACTTATTTAATCAACATTATATCAAAAATCATTTTCAACTTTAAAAAAGGAATATGTGGTAAGATATTTTTTACACAAAAATTTTCAAAGAGAATTATTAATTTTGCAAAATCTTTACAATAATCTGAAGTTTTGGGTCATAGTCGTAAGTTCTTTTGTAAAACGGGCCCAGATTATTTGACCACTATTCGATGCGTTGGCTTCCATCCTGAAAAGGATCAGGATATGGAGGTGGTAATTGCTTAATTGCTGCAGTCTGGTCATTGACTTTTAATTCTGCATATATCGGTCAAGCACTTTATTAAGAGTTTGCACACAAAAGACTGATGATGAATGCTTATCAAAACATTCAGTTTAATTATGCAAAACACTTATATTATCGATTGACATAATTACCTTTGCTTCCATTCTGTTGTTTGTTGTCCTGAACTGATTTTTAGTAAAATATTCTGTAATAACATTAAAATTCATTTTATATGCAATCGTATTTGATTCACTTAACATTCTTTAATAGTCACATTTCAAAGACATCTTTGATCTTTCATTGAGACTGAAAGGAGAATCTATGATTTGATTTGATTTAGCTGACTAAAGTAATCCGTAAATGCGGAGTATTTTGATCTTAATCTACGCCTTATCATTGGTCTGGCATTCAGGTACGGATGTATCCTCTTTCCCTATCCCATCAATCTGCCAGTTATCGACACTCGTATCATTATAGGAAGGAAACGGTCCGTCACAATAGAGGAAACCTTAGCTTTAATTAACCTGACAGTCGTTTACATCGATCATCAAGGAAAATTATAACAACCTTTCTCTTTGTATATAGCCATCACTTTTCACAAAAACTTATTTTTACCTTTTTTCATGTATAATTACCTTTTCTCTTTCTCTTTCACAACTTTCTGATCTGTCTTGTTTTCCCCAAGAAACACAGAATCTACAACAAGCAGTTGATTTTGAGATCTTCAATATTTATTAAGTTTTGTTTCTTTTTAATTACTAGTAATACAGTACTGAACAAATTTTGTACGTAAAGAAATACGCTCGCTAACTCTCGAATCCCGCCTACATTTTGGAACCATTTAATTCAATATAAATAGCAATTTGGTCATATAATCTTTGTTTAATACAAAGAACATTTCAATGGTAATTTAATTGATGAATTGTCTTAATACCAGCGCTAAACAGTAAATTATCTATAATTCCAGCTCTTGAAAAAAGAGGGGTACGATATTTTCCATTGAAATCGGAGTTTCAAGCATCACCATATTTTGAAATAGTCTTGGATATGATTAAATGTTCCTTATATCTTTTCTTATGTTTTATGCAAATAAGTAAAACATAAATATATCAATAAAATATAATGTTTCAGTTGTAAATCGCTTTAAAATTGGTGGAAAAAAGCATTTATCGTTTTTTGTCAATAAACATATATTCCCCGGTGTCGCACAAAAAGCTTTGGTATGAATTTGTGAAATAACATTGAATATTATCCGTTAAAAGGAATTTTGGTGAGACGGGGGAGAAAGATATTTTCAAAATAGTTTCCGTTTTCCGTTGATTTCTATAGTGAAAAACACAAGTTTTACCAAAATTTTAGGGGTATCTCTCTTTGTTTTCCCAAATAAGTAATGTTTTATGAAAATCCATATAATCATCTATAAAAAATATTAAAAATTCGAATATGTTAACTTTTCAAAATTGACTTGGAGGTAGGCATGCTTTCTCTCATAATTGTTTGTTAGTCATTTCGGATAAGAGCTTAAAACAGATTTTATTTGTTCATAATTAAGGTCTTATATCAGCTTACATGCATCTGCTTTGTTTTTGTATGTAAGTCCTTTAATCAGCAAGAGGTCAATACGGCACATGTAACTCAGTCATTAGAGCCTCTCTCCGTGATCTAAGGTCGCAACATGTCCATAGAATAATACAAAGCAGGAGCAGAGCAAACACGGACCTGCAAAACATCAGGGGGGGGGGGGATCAGGTGCTATGTAGCTGAAGTCATCCACTTAATTAGCTCAACATTAAATTCAAAATTTAACTTAGGATATGATTGGTCGTCGGTGTTTTTAAATTATTGACAAACAAGTTGATGAAACAAGAAAATCAGCAGTCTCGTTTAAAGTCATCATTTCTTAAGTTCTAAGGTCGATACAATGAACTTGTTAGCAAATACAAGTTATCATTGAGTCATATTGCTAACTGACTAGGGCTGGGTATTGGCCAGAGATTTCTTATTGCGATATTTTTAACTGTATTGCGTATATTACGTATTGCAATATCTTCAACAAAAATAAAATGGCATTTTCTTATTAAATTAACGTTAATTTACATGCAGAGTGTAGATACTTATGCAAAGTAACCCAAAGGGAAAAAAATCTTGTTGATTTTATTAAAGATATGCTCTGAAAT